ATAATTTGAGGGGTTTTTGCTATTATATGAATATTTTTAAATATTTTATGTTTTTCAACTATTTTTGGAATTAACGATTTTTATGTTACAACTGTAACAATATATACAATAATAAAAAAATAAATATTTTTTATTTTTATATTAAAATGAAAATAATATTATATATTTTAATTTATATTTTTTTAGATTTATAAAATAGTTAATAAATAAAAATTATCAATATTATATAAAATTAAATATAAATATCTGAAAAAAATGTATATTAAAATAAATAATATTATCTTTATTTTGATTTAAAAATAAAAAATATTTATTAATAAAATTAAAAACTTTCATATAAAGAAAAAAATCCATATTTATTATATTTTACCAATAATTTTTAGTTATTGCATTTTTTTATTGTTACTATATTGTATTTTATTACGTAAGTATTTTGTTATAATTTCCAATATCCATTAATTATTTATTTAGAATTTCTAATTTTGATCTTAATTTTTCAATTCTAAAAATATTTATTCATAAATCAAAAAATATAACAATTTTATTTCTTATTTGTATTTTTATATAAAAACAATTTATTTTATCTAAATATTTTCACTCATTCAATTCTAAATATATAATTAACAAAGAAATCAAGTCTATCTAATTATAACAACTATAAATACATAATAATCTGAAACATCAAAGAAATAAATAACAATAATTATTATATCATCATCATTGGTAATGTACTGGACACTCTTTACCCTTGACAAACCATTTGCTTATACAGTGATAATGATATGAACACATACAGTTCAGACGTGTGACGGTTTGCCCTAATATCAATAATAATTTTGGTAAGTTGGTAGTATAGAAATGGTTATATTATACATATTATAATATGTATAATGAGTAAGGAATAATAAAAACTCAAGAAGAATTTAGATAAAATGAGAGGTTGTATAAGATTATCAAATCAGGCAAAGTAATGAAATAATATAATCAATCAAACAGTAATCCAAATAAGATAACGAATAACTTTTTTGATGTTGAATAATAAAAAATAAATAAAAGGAACGAATAAAGTCAACAAATGTTCATACCGGAAAGAAACTCTTCGAAACAGATTGGACATTCTTGGCCAATGATTGGATTGTTTGAGGGGAGCTTGTAGACTGTGGATGTATATTTGTGAGTGTGAGTTTGATGCAGACCGAAAGCAGAAGCATCAGAGGCGATTTGTATTAAAGGAGATTCATTCATATCGACAAAAGTTATTATTACATCGATACGAACAATATCGAAGATGGGAAGGATGAAGTCGAATTTGAGCCGTGTATTTGGAGGAAGACCCATAATTGATGATAGACAATTCATGTGTTTTAGTAGAGCCCGTTCGTTTAATTCTTTTTTGGGGCTTTATTCAAATTTAGATTGCGTTAAGCACAAAAAGCGGCTTGCTCACCCACATATTTTAAACTGCTAATTCCATTTTTATTATCCAAACACGTTCTAAGATGTTCGTCTTGTCCACCGGGCACATTACTCAGTTGCACAGAGCAAGCCGGGCATTGGCTCATTGAACTAGTGCTTGGTCGTCGTTGATGATTATTCATAAATGAAGCCCCTGAGATAATCGACGCGGCGGTTATACCGTTAGATCTTTGTCGCGCTGAGTTCCCCATCAATGCGTAACATGAATCGCAGACTCGATGGTACTGTGAGTTTTGGTTGGAATTTGAGTCGGCAGCACTTCCGGATGGATCAGATAAAAGTTGTGTAGGAAGCAATTCTACGCGTGCTGTAGAGCATCGATCACATACGACTTGACCACATTTTCTGATTTTTTAATTGTATTTTTGATAAGAATTTAAAATGTGGCTAATCGCTGTCGTCCCGTTTGTAAAAATAAAGTGGCCACAAACCTGCAGTGATGCCTTCTAATCCACAGACCAAACTTTCTGTGGCATCGACGACAATCATGAACATCTCCATCATGTTCCCAAGTAGCACCAGAGCTTGGAGTCGCGGACGCATTTAATTTACTAATACCCGTCACGGCTCCTGCTTGTAATAATGCTGATCCTGAGAAGATTGGATTACGTGTATCCATATTTGGACTTGATGTAGTCCATGAAGGATCATCAATAGTCTGAAAACTGCTAAGACTTGAAGTTGAATCTGCGCGAATATTTGTCAGATTTATAGTGCTACTAGTAGATCTACTCAGTGAAGGAGATGATGAATCTTTTGATGTTGGACTCGTTTGTCCATCTGGAGTATCTCTAATTAAGTTTTCGAGATATTCTGCGTGTGTGAGGATTGTAGTCACTAGTGAACTGGCTTCTTGCTTACGCTGTGGATTCGTGTCAGCTATTAACAAAATTTAATATAAGTGAATAACAGTATAAAATTCAAGCACAATAGAAAGGAGCAAATAATTAATTACACTTTATGCCTTTGAGCAAAATGCTAATTGCTTCTTGATGACGAGTTAATTCATCTTGAACAGAAACAGGACCACTAACAGCTTTGCCTTTGCCATTTCCTTTATTCAAAGCATCTTCCGCTATCTTTACATAATTAGTGGAATCGTCATGATTTTCATAGACTTTAATTGGCTGAAGTAGGGAAGGATAGACACTAGTCTCCTTAAAGTCAAGTTTACGTTTCATTACACGAATCCATCTTCGTCGTCTCACCCAACTACTACTGCTGGTGGGTGGTGCCGCAATCCACATTAGATCCAGCTCATCAAAACTTCGCGCATATTGCCAACCCTGCGGATCGACACGCGGGTGCGAGAAATCAATCTGCCAATCTGAAAACCAAAACCATAATTTTTGCTGCTTTGACGAAGTTGAATTCGATACAACTGAAGCTGCTGACGAAATAAAACTCATTGGTAATTGGACATCTTCTTTCGTGGTTGGTATACCACTAAGATCAGACCAAGGTCCTCGCGAGTCACCCTTAACTAGAGGCGAATATTTTGCAGGTCCACGAAGAATGGGAAATGCATTAGATGCCCGTTGATTTTCGTGAAGTACCACGGGGACAGAGACATGGAATGCGAGAACATCGTATGGTTGGTTCATTGCTGGATTGGCTATAAGTTCTCCGAAGGAAGTGGCTAATCACCAAAGAGACAAGTTAAAATGAGAACATGTTCAGGAGAAAATAGTATATATATAAATATAAAACATACGCTTTGGAATAGGAAGTTTGCGCTTCCACCAATCACGTTCGGCTTTTTCAAGGATTTCACAAATATAAACTTCGTGACTAGTAGCCGCCACATCATACGCAGTTTCTCCAAAATTATTTTTGATGAGCGGGTTAGCCCTATGGCTTAATAGGTATCTTACTATGTCAAGATGACCTTTCGATGCGGCATTCACTAATAATAATCATAATGATAAATATTTACGGATCACAAAATCTTTTGCAAAAATATAACAAGCATACTTAATGGTGTATATCCTTTTGAATTCTTTACATCTACATCTACATCTGCGCCGCCGTGTTCAAAAAGATATTTTACGATTTTTGTATGGCCTTGTGATGAAGCGTTATGAAGCGCTGTCCATCCGTCATTGTCGACTTGATCGACTTTTGCTTTACTTTGAAGAAGAAATGCGACTACATGGGTATGACCAATATAAGAAGCTTTTAATAGCGCAGTCTGTAATGATAATAATAAATAGAAATTACAGTCAAATACAAAAAGTTCAAATAAAATAGAAAAAAAACCAAAGCACACACCTCTCCTGTAGAATCTTCAATATCAATCATTGCCCCTGCCGTATCAATCAAATACTTTACAATATCCAAATGCCCTCTTGAAGCAGCATAGTGCAGCGGCGTCAGCCCAGATGACTGGTTCGCCTCGTTAGCAATCAAAAAAGAAAGCGAAGTTTCTGCGACACCTTGTGGATCCAACAATTCTTGTACTCGCGCCAGGTTACCGGAAGCAGTTGCGTCATGTATGGTCAGTTCTGCGTCATTTGAGAAGTCCTCTTTTTTAGACTGTCGTTGTTGGTAACTTGGGGTCAGAGAGGTCGACGGAAGTTTTACTTGTTTTACGTGAATGTTTCCATAATATCTGTGGCTTTCGCCTGGTATTGGTGGATGAACAGCTTCGGGAATAAGAATTGCTGGCTGTGGTAACATTGAAGAAACCATTTTGCTACTAATTTTTTTTAACGTACTCTATGAAAAATGAACTTGCACACAAAAGGAAAAATTGTGCACAAAAGGAAAAGTTGTGCACGCCACCACACATATGTTACACGCACTAGTGCAGAAATAGGTTCAAAACAAAGTCGTCCGTGATACACGGAAAATCTTGGATCAACGTTGAGCATTAATCGTTATCACAATCGGTCGGATCGGGAATTGATATACGTTCAACTAAGAGAAAAAAGTGTGTCTTCATCAAATGGAGCGAGGTAAACATTATTTCATGCAATTTAACACACTATTACTTACTCATGACTAACATTAACCTTGGAAAAATTGCAAACATACGCAAAGCAACTTGAGTCATTGACGTAGAATTCGATCCAGAGATACTAACACAACAAGCTGGATTAAAGGTGGGGCTTGATGAATCATACTTTTTTTGCTTTGTTATAAAAAACATGATAAATTTTATATATTACGATTTGCTGTCACCAATGACAATCACCGGCCGGGTTGTCATCGATCAAGGTTAGGGTGAGAATAAGAAGACCACTTGTTAGCAAAATTTTACGAGGAACATTTTTTTGATAGAACACCAAAGGCTGTTTTCTAGACAGAATTTCGAGTTTTCGAAACACTCGTTTTTGCAATTCGGTGATAGTCACGGGACGCTCTTATTTTTATTACCATATCGATATGTTTTATCGCTATATAAATTACACAGTTCGTATTAATATTATTATCGATATTGATTATAATAATTAATGAATAGCCCCAAATAAAGGTAATGATGAATAAGTTGGCGACTGCTCTATTTCAGTAAGAACCGAGCTAAATTCTGCTTGAACAACTAAACAATAATAATAAAAATGTAGCAGAGACCAAATCGTTCGGTCCGAACCCACACCTTCTTCTAAAGAAGCGAGTCCAACTTCATGCAACCGGAGAAAAATTCTTTTGAAAGTGATTCCGATGAGAGAGTATAGATATTTCCGCTAATTAAAGAACAAATTATTGATGCTATCGAAGACGCGCGTCATCATCAAAAGAAATTAATCTTTATGTTAATGCAATGTTCGAACTCAAACACCAACAACTACATTTATAATAATAGTTCAAGTGTAATGGAAGTTGATAATGCAGCATGTTATAACGAAAGGAGGATGGGAATCTTATAATTTGAATAAGAAAAACAAATAGTAGATATAGAAATTATATCACTGACAGGCGAGGAATTCTTCAAGCAATAACAATTTCTGCTGTCGTATTCCTGTGGTCGTGTTTTCGATCCAATTGGATCACGCTTTTACGCCAAACAATGCATAAATGGATTGTTGGCCGCTGCATTCATTGAATGTTATACGTAAAATGCGGTTCTATTTATTAACCTAAGGATTTGAAAGAAACGCCGTTTCAAGTGAGCGCGCGATAGTTTTTTGTTGATAAGAAAACAAGTAGGTTGATGTCAAAGGATATATGTTTTTATATGTCTATTTTATCTTTCATAAATATATTTCATATTGTTGAATAGATTCTAATCAACTTTTCTTTGGTTAAATTGAAACTCTATCGCTATGTTTCAACAGATTCATTAAAATTTAATTTTTTTGACAGGTTTATTAATAAGTTTTCGATCGTGACAGCGATAGTACACAGTGAAACTCGATATAATCATCCGTTCCATTTTCAAAAAAAACCGTTATATCGAGAAGGATTTATCATAATCCATTCCGTTATGTCTAGTCTCGAACTGAAAACCTGTATAAGCAAACCCTATAAATAACCATGTCTAGTCTCGCCTCTACTTCTACAGTAGTAACGGCAAACAACATCTATACAGAAATTGCTCGCCTCGATTCACTCAAGAAAACAAAACGGTTCTACATTACTACTTCATTAATAACGCTACTTACGAAACTAAAGCAGAATTTATCCTTCCTACCTGCACAACGAATAAAGAAAATTGAAACTTTTCTTGATGCCTGGTATGTCCTCACACAGATCTTTTTGATGGCCGTTGTTTATTCTCGTTTATGCTGTGTCAAATTTGTTCAAAAATGCTTGGACGTGACCCTACAACGCCGCTTTATTATCAAATACAAAAAGACGGGAAAAAGTGAAAACTTATCACGTTCTGGAAGACCGCCATTCTTAACAACCATGAAAAACGTCTAGAAACAACAACCAAACCTATTTTCAAAATATCGATCTCCAATTTGTTACAACTGCAATGAAACTGGACACTTGATTTACTCATGTGAAGCGACGTGCGCCACTCCGCGAAATTGTGCAGTTTGTCAACTGCCGCAAATGTACTGCACAACTCCGGACTTCACTCACGTATTGTAACAAAGAAACCCTTTCAGAAATACATGCGTATGCTCGTTTTAAGTGGTGTGAGGAAAGTAAGCACAAAAATGAGCGAAGATATTTTTTTCTGATGAGACGAGTGTGGAAATTGGGAAGCCGTCACGACAACTAAGAGTATGGCAGCATCCAGGAGAGAAGTATAACAATACTTGGTTGGTGTCCACCTTAAAAGTGGTCGAAAATCCGCAGGAGGATTAAAGGACCGTTAATTTTTTGCGATGAATATAAAAAAATAGCGAAAATATACTTTGAAATTTTAAAAACCGATTTATTACCAATTTAGAACATAATCCGGAAAACTACGCGATTTTCAACAGGACAACGAGGGATAAATCAAGAATTGGCTGGCTGATGGAAAATAAAATCCCGACTATCGACTGGTCGGAAAATTCGCCAGACTTGAATCCAATCGAAAACATTTGGAAGTTGTTGAAGACAATGTTCAAAATTATGAGGTCTTTCCAAGAACTGTGGATGAACTTAAGGTCGTGTTAAAGGAGGAATGGGAGAAACTTGATGTCTCTGTTTTTGAAGAGATTATTGCCTCAATGCCAAGGATTGATGCAGTATTAAAAGCAAATGGAGCGCCGAGAAAATATAGTTTTTTATTCAATGTATAAATTGCGGGAAATAAAACAAATCGGATATGTATTGGAATTTCATTTTTGATTTTGAATCGGGCATTACTTTGTCTATATCAGCCTTGACTATCATTCTTTTCGTCTCGATTGATAGAAATCTTTCTTTGATTCTTCCAGCAAGGACGTTTTATGCTCTTTGAAAGATTGTTTTTGTTAAAAAACTAAAATAGTATATAATATTTTAAAACTTTGACTTCCGTCGTTGTTAACGAGAAAACTTGCGCTGTGTTTGGATATTCTTTCGTACATCTTTCCCATCATCATCAACGTCAATACATGTATTAATGGGAATCCTTTTTCGGATTCCAAAATTCATGCGTTTTCCCGTGTTGATGGTCAGCATATTTACACATGCTCTGTGGATGTCCAGCTTTTGTTGCTTTCTCATAGTACTCCATGAATTTATAATGGTCGAAGGTTTCGCAACCTGTGCGAAAGCACACACTTTTGTTAATGCAGAATGCTGCTACAATGTTGTTGTAGTGTCTGATGGGTTTTTCTTTAAAGTGGCGGCCCTATTCTGTAGTGATTAGCAATATCCGAGTAGCTTTCTTGAAGAACGTATTTCGGTTATTGTTGATGACGATGATGATGCGGATTTTGTAAATACGAGCAACTGTTGAAGTTTCTGTTTCCGTTTTTTGGCTTTTTAGATTATTGTTATAGTATGAATTGGTCATCCAAGAGGACTTTGAAGTATCAACCCATACTAGATCGTTGATTTTCCGGATACCAGGAACACACTGATCACTGAACGCAACCGGACCAAGGGATTAGATATAGACGTTGAAGAAAACCCGGACCAACGCTCATATTTATTCGGAATATAAAACCAGTAGCCCGATCTTGGAAGGAATCGAACCTCCATCTCAAAAATGAGA